TAGCATTAGGATCAACTTTTGGATATAGAAAAGTTAAATGAATATATAAGCAACATTTTACTTCTATTAACTCCTCATCGAAACACCACATGTCAAACCAAGGCTATTGATTTTGATCCAAAAAATTTCCTAAAACCAGTGGAATAAAAAAAAAAAAATAGGTACTCTATCGAGGTGGCAAAAAATTCAACTGTACCTTTGTTTTTATAGAACCCACTGCATCAAGGACTTTTTGTAGGCCTGGTCTGGCATCACCAATCTATAGGAAGACACAATGTACAAGGTACTGTAATTCGGTTGGTGCTACATCAGTGATGATTTGAGCAGCTCTACCATAAAATGTTTCCAAGTAGTGCACCAAAGTCTCCCACTTGCTACCTGCCACCCAGCTAGCCATGCTACTCTGATTACACTGGCACCATGAACTTCTCCACTTTCACTGACCACTTTCCTCCAAGTCCCCCCCCCACCCCACCCCATGGTTCCCCTGATCTACCCTCTCAAAATCACCAGTGACCTCCAACTGACTTCCAACTGCCAAAACAAAGAACACTGTTCAAGTGCTTACCTTAATCTTGCAGGATTTTATACTATTGACTTCTCTCCTTTTTGAAATTCTCTCTCCTTTGGCTTTCCTTCTGCCCTCCAGCCTCGGCACTCTCCCTTAACTCTTGTATTCCTTTTTAGTCTTTTCATTAGCGTCTTTCCCACTGCCTTAAATGTCTTATATTTTGCAGCTTCTCAGGACTGCATGCTCAGCAGCTTTATCATCTCCCTCTTCATGCTTTCCTTGGATGATTTCATATTCACGTGTAGCTCCCACCTTGACATATGATGTCAGGCCCCATGAATCTCCAGCCTTTCTTCACTTGCTTTACAACTGTCTGGAGGGCAGCTCAACCTGTATGTCCCACTGTTGCCTGAAATTCTCCAATATTGAGTTACCGCCCCTGAGCCCTCCAAAACTTGATCTTACTTTAGCAGTCTATCAAGAAACAGTACTATCCAGTTAAGGATGAATTTTAAAACAAAAACCAGTAGTCATCTGAAGTATACCTCTTCTTCCTTTCACATTTCCCATGTAGACACCCTTCACATTTACATATAAATAGCACCTAATGAATACCTCTCAGATTGTTTCTTTGTCTTCCATCTCCTCAATCTAGCAGATATGGAGGGGGAGAGAAGCCTCAAAATACTTTGGAGCCAAAGGCATTTCCTCGGCTCTTTGTAGAATGTCCTATTATGAATGTTCTGTTTGGTTAATCTTCCTCAAAAACAGGGAAAAAAAGAATTTGGGCCATCAACTAACCTTCAGAAAAATACCTAAAACAGCGAGTCCATCAGGTTGCTGCACAGCTTTTCCAAACTCCCCATATTTGGTGTTCCAATGAACCAAGTGAAGCTAAAGCAGTGGGAGACAAAACCACAATGAATGATACACATAATAAATCTTACAGATTTTATCCAGTGATCTTTTCTTCACAGCTAGAGGTTATTAAAGAAAGTGAACATGTGGATAATTTAAAATATAAACTTTTCTTTCATTTTAATTCTAATTATCCACTATTTGGCATAACAGCAAGTGACTTCATCAACTCTAAGACAAAGAGTTACATATTCTTGCGGGAAGACACAAAGTTTATTTCTAGATTTATATTAAAACAGGATCCTCCAATTCGAATTCATTTTACTTTTTGCAAATGATGTCCTTGGAAGTAGTAGAGAATGTTTTGCACTATTAATTGTAATATCACAAATAAAACTTATAAGAAGTAAATGTGAAGGTCCTTTGTAAAAAAAAATGGTTCACTTAGATTGAGTCGAATTTACAAAATTAAGGTTTTGAAATTAATGCTGAATATCAATTTATATCTTTCCCTGGAAAGCAAAAAAGCATATCTTACCTCTGCAGCATATTTCTTTTTATCCACAGTATGCTCAGAACCTTGCCCATCAGATGAACCCCAGTGAAAGTGAAACTGAATCAATCTGTAAGTGCCAGTGAGGGGTCCTCCTTTCAGCACTAAAATTTAAAATATATATATATATATATAATATATGTATATGTATATTATACATGTGCATATGTGTGTATGAGTGAATATGTGCATATGAATGTATATACATACACACAATCACGTGTATACACACATATACATACATATGCACATGAAACACACACAGTACTAAATATTAGTCTAACTTAATCCTGTTTCATAGTTCTGAATTAATGCTTATAGCAACATTTTCGCTCTGTGAAAATTAAATCCAGACTCAAGTTTAGTCTACAGTGCTGGACAAAGTCATTTCAGCTGGCTTCTCTCCTCACTTGTGTTGGCTGGAAGGATGGGTGCTTCTCCCATCTGTTTTCTGAGCACAGTGATACTTCTCTTCTGGGTTTGGTTTGGAGTCATAGGTGCTAGTTCAGAGAGAGGAAGTTTTAGGTGGAATTATTAAGTCCTCTGTGAACCACTGAGGAAGGGCCCATGTAGCTGCTTGCCAATGCGGTTCTGTGGCACACGCTGACAAATGTGGGACCCTCTGCTCTACACGGCCCAGCGGCTGTCCTACAACCTGCTTTGCTAACCTCTGAGGCCTGTTCTTACGTGACAGAATTTGTGAAACCGTAAGCATTCTATTGATCTTAGTAGAATATCCAATTTTCCTTGCCCTGGCTTTCCAAATTCTTCAGAATTTGGATTGTCACTGGTACTAACTAGTTTTGTCCCATTAAAAAATCTTTTTTAAGATTTATTTATTTATTTGAGAGAGAGAGCTGGTGCACAAGTAGGGGGAGGGGCAGAGGCAGAGGGAGAGGGAGAAAGAATCTCAAGCAGGCTCCCTTGGAGCCTGATGGGGGCTCGATCCCCGGACCCTGAGGTCATGACCTGAGCCAAAACCAAAAGTCAGCTGCCTAAAAAACTGAGCCACCCAGGCGCCCCTCCCAGTAAATTTTTTATTGAATATTTCTGACCCTAATTTCCTCATCTGTAAAGTGGATACGTTCGATTGTTTATTACTTCACTAAGAATTTGTTGATCATCTAACAAATGCAGTACTCTATTGTCTCCAAAACCTTAAAATTCTAACTTTAATAACTGTCTAAAGATTTTAATGTTCTGGTATTAATAGGACTTTGTTAGAGTAAAACACAAGACAGAAGAATATGACTAGATGTCATCTTAGACCACAGTCCATTCACAGATAATTAATGAGTTGTGTGTTACAGAAAATTAAAATAGTATGAAATCAGTTTCTCCCATCCTCCCCATAAAACTTTTTATTTAAGTTATATGTATTAATGAAATCTTACCAATATATTTAAAAGATTTTAAAATTTAATTTAGTTCTACAGTCTGTTGTTATAAGTGTATTTTATTAGCTTTGAGTTATAATTCTATAAAATAATGAACCTAAACTTACTTTGGCTTTGCAAAACAAAGCGACAAAGTCTGTAAAATCAAGTTTGCTTAACTTCACCCAAATACGCATAGATGGTAGCAATACCCATTCATCTAACCAAAGTAAAAAACAGAGCTGGCTGGAAGACATATAGGCCTTTCTTATGGCTCTTAATACAATCTCTGGTTGCCATCTCTGCCTTACAATAAGCCAGGAGAAAAAAAGAAGGAATAAAAAAAAGAAAAAGAACCAATTATAAGTGGTGTTATAGGTCTGGTAAGAAACAACAATTTGGACATATTCTGATAAGATCACATCTTTTGAAACTTAAAAACAAATTATTGTAAGTTTCTTTTAATCAAATTATTCTGTAAGGAAAGAATTAGCCTTATCTGCCCCCAACTCTAAGCTTTTTCAAAAACGAGAGAATTCCCATTTTTCATGATGATATACCCTCAAGACAAAATATAGACTTATGAAATAAATTGGTACTGAAATAATTCCTTTATAATAACTTTAAAGCTACTAATTGGCTGATCCCAAAAAGCAAATATCCTCTGTAACATCATTAATTCTACCAAGTGGCAAAATAAACGAAATAACACCATATTAAGCATCCAAGATATAACTTATCTTTCTAAATGTATCTCCTTTCCCTTGTGAAGAATCATATCAGAATCTTAAATTTTAAAAATAATAAAGCTGATCTGCTGTTTCCTATTCTTATTCACTCCCTTGCAGATCTTAAGATTCCAGCCTAATTTACTTATTTCAGAGAACATTTAGAATTAGGCAAGAATGTATATGAGTTTTTATTAAATAAGCTTTGCTAATATTTAAAAAATGCTCGAGGTTCAATGATTAAACTCACTCAGTGCCAGTCTATTATTACCAGACACCTGTTTTAGCTCCTGTTAAAATAAAACTATGTTGCTATGTAGATTAGAAGCCCGTCATACCTAGGAGAGGTTATTAAATTCTTAAAAATAAGTTGCTACAAAAAGAAGCATTTCTCTTCTTCTTCAGCTAGTTAGTTATTTCTCAAAGTCTTAGCATGGAGTTTAGTCAATGAAGTCCTCCCAAAAACATTGTTATAATAATCACTACAAACTCTAATAAAGGTAGCATATATTTTTTTATTTGTGAAATAAAAAAAAAAACATTTGGTTGAAAGATAGGGAGCTTGCACTTTTTGCAGAACTATTTATTTACTTACTTGGATGGCTACATGCCATGTCCAAACTGTCCCAGTTTAAAATGAAGTCTGTTTTTCTGATGCAAAAATAATTTGAAAAAATAGCAGAATCTGCAGACTGAGTATATGTTTCCTCTTTAAAATCCAGCCCTGCTAGTGAGGGCTCTGAAGAGTCAATGATTATTATATCACAGAAATGTGTTCCACAGGGATGGAGAGATACAAATGGGGTTTTCTACCAGGATATCTTTTTCAAGATTCCTAAAACTTAATTTAAATCCAAATCTCAACACCAAGAGCTCTAGCTAATTTTAATTTCGATGGTCTGCCATCAGTTATACATACTGCATGCATAACACACAAAATAAGCACTAACTATATTATAATCTGTTTTCCTATACATATTACTTAGGGAAATTATGTAAATTATATTATTTATGAAAATTAAGACATTCACTCCAGTAATAAGTAAGACTACACAAATTAAAAACTGAAAATTTAACATTTTTAAATTTTTTCTTCCTAATCACTTTATTATTACTTAACATAAGATGTATCCAAATAACAAACTAAAGACCTTAACAAATACGAAAAATTTCTCTTAAATCCAAAATACAAATAAGCCATTTCCAATAATCTTTAGTTTAAAATTCATATTTAAGGGATTTCTTATTAATGAAGTAAAGGACTAAGTCTACTAAAAATGTGGTATTTTTCAGCAGGTAAACAATCTTCTTTTATGAATAATTTGAAAATTATTAAATCATGCATTGCTGTTTTGCTTTTTTAGCAGTAGCCAATAATCCTAGGGTTGACATACTAAAATCAAGAAAATGAATGAGGAAAAGATGTCCACAATCCATTTCTTTTAAATAGTGAGATGTTTAGCTGTCACTTTCACTAGGGTAAACAACAATTAAAAATCAAGAGAACAGAAGTTTTTAGTTTCAGGTATATGGAAATTATATGAGAGTAAAAAAAAAGAAAAAAGAAACTTTTGACATAAACAATTAAATACAGTATTTAGAATGCTTTGGTCAGTTTTATAAATACTTAGGTTTCTGCTTACCCCATTAACAGTATGCACGGCAAACCCTTTCACTTGCTGCTATTATGTTTCCTTTTAACTTAAAATTATTCATGGAAGGATAATTTTAAAGTTTCAAAAGCAAGTCCTTGAAAATCAAGCAAGACTCATGTATGAAGTTCTATTATGTCATACAGGCAGTGGTTTGCTTGAAATGATCATAGGTAAGCTGTCTGTTTCCTTCTTTTTTTTCTTGAAATAATATAAACAGATAAAAATATTTCCATTTCTAAAGAACAGAAATGATATGAGAGTTGTATATGGATGGGCTCAATAATTTCGGGCATTGGTTTTTCAATATTTGCCTCTAAGATCGCAATAAAGCAGGAGAGTTTTAAACTCATTAAAAGTTAATGAGTTAGCAGAAGTTAATAATTTGACTAGTATTCTTTTCTCCCAGATAAAGCTAGTAATAAAGGAACTCAAGCAGAGTTATTTTGTAATAATTTTTTTGAAAGCCTAACGGGATTAGCAATTTTTCATTAATTAAAGGTGGTTTATTTTTAAAGGAATTGAGAAGATTGATGAGAGCTTCCAGTTAAAGAATATTATCCCCACATTTTTTTTATTAACTCCGCACTTGAAAAGAATTCTCTCAAGCATAAATATACTAATAAACTCAACCAGCTCAGTTCCTGATACCTTAGTACTCAAGTTTGAGTCTAAGATAATATTTAGGATACATTTGAAAACAAATCTATGAGAAGTCCTAGAAGGCTGAAATCTCACTGAAATAAAAATCAATAAAATGAACTGAAGCACTTAAGTGTAGAAAACAAGACATAACAGATATCTAAAAATGTTAATGCCATTGGAATAACTCCTAACAAAAAGTTGTTGATTTAAAATATCGAGTGACCAAAATGAATGTTATTTTTAGACTTAAATGTATAGAAAAGCATATCAATTTTTAAAAGCATGGTATGTACACATTAAATATTAACTATGGTTATCATTCACACTTGATCTTAGCCAAAAGGCCAAGAAAAATTCTCATTCAACTTCTATTTTTAAGTGATGGGCATTGAGTCTCACAATGACAAACCAGAAAGGAGATGACTAGCAAGTTATTTAAACTCCTTAGCATTCTGTTTCCTCATGTTTATTTTAAATGAATTTGACTGGAGTATCTCCATCATTTGTTTTAACCTGAGAGTCTAAGATTCTTTTAAAAAAAAGTCTAAAGGTTGTTTCTCTGCATGGTATGATTGTTTTATTCTATAGATGGGTTTTTCCTTAATGCCAACATTTTAACACAGTCTGCATCCTAGGAAAAAAAATGCTTCCTTGTTTAACCAAAACAACTGACAATGTTGAAGAGGTTTGGGCAAAGTTACAAAGGGATCTTTCTTACATAAAAGAGAGCAGGTCATTCTAACATTAACTCTTCCTTGTTTGACAGAGTAAATACTGCACTCTCTCAAACCCCCAGGTCTTTCCAAATTCTCTTTGCCTGGAGTCTCCTCCAAGACACCAAAATCCTTCAAGCCTCAGCACAAGTTTTATTGACCCTGGAAGTCTCTGCTGACTTACACAGGACGACTCCTAAGTCTCTTTCAGGTTTCCATTATTCCTTGGAATGGAACAATGTATGTCTTTGTGGCACTTGCCAAAGTCACTGTCCGCATCTGTAATTCCTGTGTCTTTCTACTGGATGTTTCCCCAGCACGAGTTCTAGGAACACAGGAAAGAGACCAGGCCTCTATCTTGCCTTCATGGTACCTAGCTGACCTTGCATTTAATTGCTGTTAGGAAGGATTTTCTTGTGGTTGTTATTGTTTTATAAGAACTGAGCAAATAACACGTGTGTCTTTAAAGACATGGGTTTGAGACCCAATTGGAACCACTTTTTTCACAGTCTAAACATGGCTTTAATAAGATATGTGTTACTCACCAGCAGAAGTAGTTAGAAAAGTGTGGCTAGCTCTAATCAGTTACTGCTTGTGTAGAAATCCATCAGAACTTGACATATTCATGCTAAAACATAACTATATAATAACATCACATATAACATCAGTACACACTTTAATATGATAAATGGGATGTTCAGGAACATATAAAAATAAAATTTTTAAATCCCATCAAGGGATGGCAGGTAATCTCACAGCTCATTAGAAACTTTCTTCAGAAATCTTATCACAGGTGCGATTGCTAGGGCAATTGCTTAATAAAAGTGGTCAAATGATATGAAGACATGGAAACAGCAATGGTCACTTAGTGTGGAGTTATTATGTGCCAGGTGCTGGGCTAGGTGCTTTATATCTACTGTCCCATTTAATCTGTCCTCTGTGGTAGATATTATTGTTACCCCAATTTTACAGTTAAGGAAATTAAAAATTAAAGAGATTAAGTTGCTATTGTTCCCAGGGCCACTGAGCTAGTTAGTGGCAGGGCTGGAACTTGATCCCATGACTGTCTGACCCCATTCTAAGCTTACAGTTGCTTTACTAAATGCTGAAATCCGCTTTCCAGGAATAATATACTACTGGAACAATTATTTCATGATCAGATTTGTAAAGAACATAGGGAATTATCTCATCCGGTTCTATTTGTTAGACATTTGTTTCCTCATTGTTCCAAAAAAGTACTCAATTTCTATGTAGCATCCAATGAGGTATATAACTGGTGGACATAACACTCACTGAAAAGAGTGATCTCACTGGCAACATTGAAACATACATTCACTGCGTCTCTTTTTGTAGAAGTTGATAGCTAAAGACTAAAATAGCTCACTTTTTTGGTCTTTAAATAACTAAACGTGAAATTTTATAGCATCCTTTTTATACGTACAATACCACCAAGACCTATGGTCTTGTCCTATTATAATCAAAATATACAGTATCCTTAACAGGAAAGAAAAATATTTGTTTCCCTTATCTTTAGCCTAATCACTTGAGCATTGTTTCTTCGGAGTGGGAGGCTTACCTGGGAAGACAGTGTAGCAGAATGATTGCAGGAGTGTCTTCAGTGAACATCCTCTACTAAATCTAATCAAAGTCTAATTAGTCATTACACTATGCCAGAATGTGTGTGCATGTGTGTGTACTGGGGGGAGGTGCACACAGGGCACAAGTAGGTTGAAAACAGTTCTTAGATGATCTCCACATCATCCTCCAGCAAACTGTCTTCCAGAATCACTATCTCAGAAATCCAAGTATCAAAAAGAAAAATTTTAAAGGGGAGAGGAGGGATTTTTTCCAAACTGGACCAAATACATTGGATAGCTACTAAAAAAGAATGGTCAACTTCGCTATAGTGGTTATAATTACACATTATATATTAGTACTATCGGTCATTACTCCAAAATTTTGACAGCATTATTGAATGCGTCCCCGTTTGTGTTCTCTTTTTGCCCCATGCTCTCCCCCCCCCATACCAACACCACTCATTATGTGTTTGCAACGACCTTCAAAGGAAAGCACTCAGGAAAATAGGGCATTGGCAATTAAACCAACCAGTGGGCAAAGAAAGCTGCCACCATGTCTGAATGGGATTGTTCTCCTGTTTCTAAATAAGAAAAAAGAAGCATTCAATGGGCATTCTGTAAACAGCTCCAATACAGATAAATTACGGTAATTGGTTTAGTCAGCAATGGGCCAGGTGGGCCAATGCCCACCAACTCTAAAACATCTTCATTTGTGGAATGTATTTCTGGGTGCATATCAAAATATACTGCCCCTCTTATCACACTTGTATCCATAAATGCAATGTTTCAAAAAATTTCACTATTTTAAATAGTGAGGTTTTCATCACTCCCCTCATTGCTGCCTTGAAGAGAGCACTAAGGTGTACTTTTATTGGATAAAACCAATTCCGGAAAGCAAATATTTTAGAAAGAATCTTAAAAGTTCAGTTTTTGCAAATCTCATCCTTGCTGATCTTCTCTTCCTGGCGACCTTGATTTCTGTGAATTTTCACAAGCAGGTCACAGTTATTCAATGCCCTATATAGAAACCAGGAATTTTATAGGGGAGCAACAGTCCCAGGCCACTTCAAAGTAATTAGCCTACTTCTCAGAGCCTGGGACCTAATGAAGATTAGCAAAGTTGCATCTTAGAGTACTGAGACTGAGACAAACAGTAGTATTAAGCCACTGCTCCTGATTCCTCCCATTAAGCTGGGAAAATAGTCACTGGGTAAAAGGCACAGGTTATTTTTTAAACACTGACCTGCTTTGTCCTGTGAGTCATCAAATTCCACGTTGAAAGAGTGACCGTTGTTGAGGATCCTCCGAGAAACCGCTTGCTCGTAGGAAGGACACAAAGACTTCAGGGCAGGGTCATGAAGGGCTGCTTTGGTGTCAATGTCAACAGGGGACTGGCGCTCTCCCTTGGCAATGGGGAAGTCCTTATGCCAGTTCTCCGGTCCTAGCGTTCAGAAGAGACCTGTGAATCCCCCAGTGTTGGGAAGGGCACACCCAGCCCCTAGAAAGGGGCAGTGATTCTGGAGCCAATCTGCTCCGTTCTTATTTTGGTGGCACCACTTAGCTGAATACCTCTGGCAAAACCCTTAATTCGTGCTTCAGTTTCGTCATTTGTATTATGGGGTAATAACATCTGCATCGTAGAAGTTGTGAGAACTGGAATCAATACATGAAAGGTCATTGAACAAAGAGTGAGTGCCATGTGAATATTACCTATGTTTACCCTCATTTTATTGAATTCAGCAACTGAAATTGCGCAGACACTACTGTCAGGGCTTGTGGATAGCATTTAGGATATTCAAGCTCATTTAAGATTGGAGCAGGTTGGGATTTCTCCCTAGTGTCCTACTGAATGTAAAGGCCGAGTCACTGCTCAGGCCCGGGCACCTCTCTTGTAATCATGAGGATCCCCACCACCTGGGAAGCCCACACCACCCCCAGATGCGCAAGGTGCTCCAGACGCATCTTTCTCTTGCGTCGGTTGACTCTGAAGAACCCAGATCGGTAGCCATGAAAAAACCGGGTTTCTGGTGACCCCCTAACATTAGGAGATAAGAGATGATGGGGGAACTTAGAAATCACCCCAATGGATTCAAACCAGCCCACGAAAATGCCCCGGGACAGTTCGTGTTGAGCGCCTTAGCCACAGGTGGTGCCGAGAATGAAGTGTGTAGGGGGAGAGGGGGGTCTCCTAATTTTTCTGCAAGCAATAACTAAAATTTTCCCGTTACAAGCCTTCCTCGCTTCCTCCTAGGTCGGGTTAGGATAGTCTCCGGCTCGGGACCCGGGGGCAACTGTCCTCCAGTCCCGACGCTGAGGCTGCGCTCCTCCTCCCTCCGGCCCTGCGCGCCACAGCTGGACGCAGGGATTCCTCGACAGTGACCTCGGGGGCTGGGGCAACGCGGGCATCCCAGGGCCGGGGAGCAGCGGGCGGCGCAGACTCGGGCGCACACCTTGCCTCGCGTGCTCCGACTAGCCGCGGTAAACAGCAGGTGCGGGCCGTGCGGGGCCGGGGCCGAGATTGGGGCCCCGGGCGCCGCCGCCGCGCCGCCCTCCGCCTGCACTCACCGTTGTGCTTGCCGTATCCCCAGTGATGGGCCATGGTCGCGCCGCTGGTCGAGGCAGGTCAGGAGTCGGTGCCGTTCTCGCGGCGGCGGCTCGGGCGCCTGCACCGTGTGTCCGCGGGTCGCGCCGTCACCGGCTTTTATAGGCTCCCGCCAACTTCGTGTTCGGGGGCGGCTTGGGGGAGGGAGCCTCGGGTGGACCTGGATGAGGGGAGGAGGAGGTGACGGCGGAGGTGATCTCCCAGTGCTTGGGGCGGGTCAGGAGGGCGAGGCACCGGGGGCGGGGAGAACGCCCTCTCGGCGGGCGCTCCGCTGGGCTCAGGACCTCCTCTCCTGCCCCGCGGCTCCCCTCGACCCGCGGCCCGGGCCGCGAGTCCCTGGGTTGACAACGAGGCTCCAAGGTCTCGGCGCGCGTGGTGGCGGCGGCGGCGGCGGCGGCTCCCGGGTTCCTGGGTGGGACTGGGGCTGGCAAGCGTCTAGGAGCACCCCATCCCCCTCCTGGGCGCGGAGTCTGGCGGCCGCGCTGACTGCTCGGGACCCGGGCGCCTGATGCCTTTCATCCGTCGTCCGCATTGTGACCGCATTGCTGGCCTCAGAGCCCTCCCGCCCCACCCTACTGGCCCCACCCGCGCCGGGGTCTCCAGCCCCGCGGGCTTACTCCTTGGTGTCCCCGGCCCGGGACTGGCAAGCTAGGTTAGGAGCTATGACCTTGGGGCAAATAGGGATACGGTCCCTGAGGCTCTGGGGAGCCAGCAGCTTCGGGTACTGAGAGCCACGCGCCCCCTGCTGGACGGCCGTGGAATAAAGCGAGCAAGAGGAGCGAGAGTCTGTTCTGCCCTTAGTCCCCACTGAGGCAAGCATGGGAGATCGCATTTCCTTGCATGCTGTCAGGGTATCGTATGAAGTACTAATCTCCTCCTACCTTCCTCCTTCTCTTTAAAAAAATTAACTTTGGGGGAAAGACTTCCTCGCTGAATACATATTAATTTAAAACTTGTTCCCCAAAACTTCTAAAACAAATCACTTTTCTCAGAGAAATTAAGTAAAAGAATTTCTTGCAAAGAGGTGAGAACTTTCCCTGGCTGAAAAAGGAAACTTAGTATCTGGGATACGTAAGAAATAATTCCCCCCCCCAAAAAAAACAACTGAGAGGATTTTGTGGGGCAAAATGGGCCACCTTCTTCATATACATACACACATATATTTATGGTTGTACTGAAATGAAGATTAATATTTTAACATTATATATTTCAACATTTTCTTTGGTGTATTTTTGTTTTTACCTTCTAACTTGAAAAGAAAACATTTTATTGACATCCTAAAGTGTTGTGGGCTTGAAGCAATGTCCTTACTGTACCTAACAGATAAGTCAAGACTGTTTTTAGGTGGGGACAGAATTCATTTTGTCCTTCAAGGGACTTTGCCACAAAAATGGGAGGATGATTTTCTGTCTTGTGGATCTCTGTGATCTTTGAGTGATCGTATTAAAGTTAAAATTGAAGAAGCAGGAACAGTTTTATACAATTCTATCAGCCTTGACTTCATATTACTTTTACAGATAAAGGAATAAATTATAACATTAGTATAAGTTTCTGTAATGTTGATCTCAAAATCTTTATTTACTACATATTTCAGTCACAAATATGATTCATGTTTAGATTTATTTGTTTTTGTCCTAAGATTCTAGAAAAGTGTGTACCTCTGGTTTTCCGAGGAAGAGAGGTCTTTTCGTTATGTCACAGTGAATTCTTAGGCAAGAGGAACAATGAACTATTTTTGGTTTCTAGGACCATCACAAAATGTAGTTTGTAATTAAGAAAAACTTTTTATTTGTGCCTCTCTAACTACATAGTCTCTCATGGGGCTCAGTGAAATAATTTTGATTCTTTGCACAATTTCAGGATATTTATTTAACTCAAAAGGAGAGGGCTTTGCAGTTGCTATGAGACTCTTCTCTAGGCCCTGGTGATGTAAAATTGACAAGTACCAGGAGTTGAGAGTTGAATAAAGTGAGTTCTAAAGATTCTGTGAAGGTAACCAGGCTATTAGGCTGGCATCCTTGCCTCTCAATCTCTGCAAAGCTGGATTGTGGCTTTACTAACATAGAGGTAATAGGAGCATATTTTGATCTTTAATATCTCCAAAACTTCAAACATGACCAAATTGCAGTTAACCAAATAGAGTTTTAGTATTCAAGTTTCCCCTTTCTCTTTCACTTGTAGAGAATGAACTACTTCTCAATGGAGCAGGGTCTCGCCACAGAGCTGCTACTGGGGAGAATGTCATGTGCTCACTGCAGGGCAGAAAGTGGCTCACCTTTGTATACTCAGCAGAGATCTAAAAAATGTTTTTTAACATTTTTTATGTTACAGTGATTGTGTTAGCATTTATTTCTATCCAGTTTTTTAATATATTTCTTTATTTGTATTTCTTTATTTTATGATGATGATGGCTTTATGCCTTCATGTAGATCATTCAGAATCTAACTTTATTTTACTGAGAGCATTCTTAGCGGACAGTTGTGATTTAGTTACATGGAAAAAGACTACTCTAATACTGGATTTTTTAAAACAAAATGAATAATTATCATACACCCACGTTTCTACTAGAGGGAAGGACTGGTTCAGAATAATTCTCAGTAAACCATATAGTACTTGAATAAAAGTGCTTTTTTTCTACCCCAGGAGGAGAAAAAATGGCAGGCTGTATATCAGGAAAATATAATACAAAAATCTTGAAGACTGCATTCTAATTATTATAATAAAAAAGTTTCTAACATATTAATCTTGGTAAAAATATAAAATAAAATGGAAAAGTGCTTTTCCCCCAAAAGTAAAGATATTGTTAATATATTCTACAAAGTGAGATATACATGGTTTATTAATGTTTAACCATAAAACCAATAAGATAATAAAGAACCAGATAGTCTCATGTTTGTTATAATTATAGTATCAAAGTGAATATGGAGGCTAAGAGCCACTCCCTTCTTGGGGCTTTTATAGATCTTTACACACACATCCCTCTATCTTAGTATTTGTGACACAGCATTCTAATCAGACACCGTATCGTAATCATCAAGTTGTAATCCACCACCCCAATGAGCTGTTGGCTGCTCATTTGTAAAGCAGAAATGATGACACCCACCCAGCTCAGAGTTGTGAGGATTCAGTTAGTGACTACTATAAATTACCTGCTACATGAAGGCATTCAGTAACTAACTAGTGGCTATTCAGTTCCTCCCAGACAGTGCTAAACTGTTAGAATATAATGTAATGAATGTAGAATTAAATACCTGGGCAAGGTCCAAGGGAATAACTAAGGAGAATGATCTTCCAGAGATACAAGTGTTTTTGTTGGGGGGATGGACGACTCCTCGGGTCATAGAGACGTCCACTCTAGCACACTTGCATTTTTTTTTTTTTTTAATTAAACTGAGCGCCCTGAGGTTGGGAACTGTATCCCATTATTCACCTCTGGATCCTAGGTACCTACCATGTTTTTGTAAACTGAGCCCCAGGACACAAGTAGTAACTACCCAAGAATTCTCTTTGAAATTATGTAGTCATTAATCCAAATGGAGGTAATTTCAGTTTTCTCTTTGCAGAAATCAGTCACTGAACGAATAACGTGCTGAAATTATACTTGCTTTTGAATCTGGGCTAATTCACTAGTCCTCTGACCTCGGGCCAATTGCTTGCTCTTGCAAAGATTCAGTTTCCTCATGTGTAAAGCTAGGATATTAATAATGTCTACCTTATAAAGGTGTGGTGAAGACTATAGGAGATAATTTATATAAAGGATTTAGCACAGTGCCAATAATTAGAGCTTGATAAACGTTAGTTATCATTTTTACTATTACACGTTTTTGAGCTCCAATTACGTGCTTAACGTTTTTAGGTACTACATAAGCTGTAAAAGCTTTAGTCATCTATCCATTCATTCATTCAGCAAGTCTATGAAGTACTATAATGTGCCAGGCATCAGCCCAGGGGGTATAGCCATGAACCAGATCAACAGGATCCTTGCCCTCGTGGAGCTTACATGGGGATGGATGGGGGTAGTATACAATAAATAAATAAGCAACAAAAAAGTTAATTTCCAACAGTGGTAATTACTACAAAGAAAATAAAGCAGGAATGACACAGAAAATTATGAAAGGGAGATGTTACTGTAGACACAGTCAGTGGTTATGGAAACTCTAGTGAAGGAAGTGCCATTTCAGGAAAGATCTAGGGAAAGACATTTCTGGCAGAGGAAATAGCAAGTGTAAAGGCCCTGAATGAAGACATTTCTAGAACAGAAAACCTTGTGCCTGGAGCGTTGTGAATGAAGAAGAAACAAGTAGGTGTAGGTGGAAGCAAGCAGGGGCTGCAGGCTGCAAAGCCTTGCAGACCGTGATAACAGGAAGGATTTTATACCAATTACAAAGGGGAGCCACCAGGAGGCTGTAAGAAAAGGAATGATATAAACTGCAACAATATAGCATTTCAGAAGGAAAAGCAGATGAGGAAATTAGAAGTTGCCAGAATGCCTTTGATCGTCTGACAATGACCTTTCACAAAAAGATCCAAACTCCTCTTCCTGACATATAAAGCCACTTTAATCCAGGCTCTGGCTTTCCTCTCAGCCTCTGAGTTTCTTGACATTCGTCTGCCATGGGATGGGAGGCAATATCACACAGTCGCCAAGGGCTAAGGTTTTGTGAGTTCGGATTCAGCTTCTAGGACTTATCTTTTATATAACCTTGGATGATTTACTTCAGAAGCTCCCCAAGCCTCAGTTTCCACATCTGAAATGCAAAAAGGGCACCCTGGGCTGTTGAAATGTTAAATGGACTAATTCATGTGATTTTGTCATGTAAATTAGCCTGATGTCTGGTATACTACTAGGTGCTCCATTAGGATTCCTTTTCTTGCAGCAGAGACATAGAATTGTGTGATGGGAATCAACTTTGCAAGAAGACAGACCTGAGTTCAGATTCTACTTCAGCACTCACTTGCATCACCTTAGGCAAGCTAAGTAGTCTCTCTGAACTTCACTTCCTTATTTGTAAATTAGGGGGCAAATTCAAGCTCTGGATCATTATGATGAGAACTAATGTCTGGAAGATACCAATTATGGTTCTGGCACTTTTTAAAAAAATTGAATAAATAACATAATTATCATTATAGTACTTTCCACTGTAAAATAATAGATTGGCTTTTCTGTTTCTCTAACTCACATGAATAAAAATCACATTTACTTTGTGAACATTTT